TTCCAGAGCTGACCGAGTACGTGGTCACTCGCTGGTACCGGGCCCCTGAGCTTTTGTGCGACTCCTGCTACTATGGGAAAACGGTGGACATCTGGTCTTTGGGTTGCATTTTCGCAGAAATGCTGGGCCGGAAGCCTTTCTTCCAGGGGTCCAACCCTTTGCACCAACTGGAGACGATCGTCGCCAAACTCGGCCTTCCCCCTCCGGAACAGTTGACCTTCGTGACCCATCCCGCCGCCAAGAAAGCCATTCTGGCCCGAGCCGAGCAACAGCGACCGCGGCCGCTGCTTTCCTTCTTTCCCCGTGGCACCAATCCCCAAGCGGTTGCCCTGCTCTCCCGGATGCTCACTTTCCACCCCGAGCATCGCATTACGGTCGAGGAGGCCCTCGCACACCCCTACCTCCACGAATTGCACTCTCAAATGGACGAACCCGCGTGCCAGAAAGCCTTTGATTTTGAATGGGAACGACCGTTGAGAGGGGCGGGCGGAGACGAGGGGGGAGGGATGCGAAGAAAGTCTGTGATACCGAAGCCTGTCCTGCAGCGTTTGATGTACGCAGAAATGCTCTTCTTCCGAGGCCTGGAAGAGGAGGAGGGCGGGGAGGAAGCAGGAGGGGAGGGAGCGGAAAGTCTGAAGGAGGAGGAGGCGACTTCTTCCCACCATAACCACTCGGCTTCTTCCTCCTCCTCCTCGTCGCTGGGCATGTCGGAGTCGGGGGGAAGAGGTAGGGGTCGCTCGTCCAACCCCGTCTTGCCCCCTCCTCCCTCCACGGCTGCCGCGCTCTTGGCGTGCACTTCACAACGGCAACACCAGCAGCAGCAGCAAGAGGCTAAAGTGCAGGCGCATGGGCAAGAAGAGAAAACGCGCTCTAACGAGGGAGGTGTCACCGAAACAGGAGGAGCCGTAGGGCCCGAAGGAGGGCGTGAGGGAGGGGAAGGAATGAAGGAAGGAAGCCGAGGATGGGCATCGTCGGCCACGGGGGCAGGAGAGGGAAAGGAGGGTCCGATCGAGAGCCAAACAGGAAAATTAAAGCACATTGAGCGGTAAAGAGATAGCGCCGAGATCTGCACACCCTGATCAGGGTATAACGGGTCAATGGTCAGAATAGGGCATTTGCCGGCTGTGACAGACAGGAAGGAATGGAAATAGTGCGACCAGACCTGACCAGACCTCAGGACACTTTGCTCGCAGGAACTTCAGGCGGAGGATGGAAGATGATACATGTCAGGCACCGTCTCGCAAAGGCGCGGCAGGGAGGCCTCAAGGGAAGGGGGAGCAGACAAAGCGCAAATCAGGGCTGGGGAAGAACGGGAAAAAGGTGCCACCGTGCATACACTGTGCTGCCTATATATAAATCAAAGATGGCGGTTGAACCTTGCCATAAGAGTGCAACGCACTCACTCTCTCCTTGAACTTCACAGGGTCTAGTAACGCCGAAGTGTGAAGAAAGAAAAACGACATTGGGGACTAAATGCTCGGTGGGGAGCATGATATTTGTCTTTATAAACTGCAAACTCGCGGAAATCTTCCTTGTCGTCAAGTTTGTAGGCTCAAAACCATGTCTTATGGCCATACGCTTGATTAACACGGAAAGCCCTCCTGCTGCATGGGAATAGCCATGAACAGCAAAAACATACGAATGATATGGGGGCTTACTCCACGTCTCTCTTATTTTTTCTTAGCTCTGTACGGAGGACTATATTGCGTCATTTTTTATGTTGTCATTTGAGCCCTGGCTCTGGACTACGACGCGCGACGAAACATTTTCGTCAGCGTAATTTTTTATGCTGCTGTGCTCTATGCCCTGTTTGAGTTTAAGAGCGCATTTCATGGCAGAAATGCAAATGCCCGACAGCTTCTTCGGATAAGCAAAGAATTTATGATCCTATCAAAGGCATTGCTTTCGCAAAAGACACTGAATCGATCTTTTGAGCCCAACACACAGGCTTAGACAGGGTGCGCTTGCGGAGTGGAGCGTATCTTTGAACTTCAAGAAGAGCAAAGCCTCGCTAGGTACGACCGTGTCCATCCATTGCCCCTTGATCTGAAAATCTACCCTTAACTATAAGGTGACCCGCAGTTTCTAGCTCCGAAAACGTCCTGTAGCCTCCTTCGCCCTTTTTCGTCGTCGAATGTGTGCCTGTTCAAGGTTCTCCGATTTGCGTGCTATTACGGTTGTCTGCGCTTGAAGGAGAGTCCTGTTACAGCAACCTGGCCAGCGATCCTCCTTGACCCACTAAATCTTTCCTTTGAAGGAGGAAGGCACCCTGGGTTTTCCCTCTCATTGGCCGGTGCATGCACCTTGGTCTCCATGACCAGACCCACATGTTGGTATATCGTCAAATAGTTGATGTTGGTTGGGTTGATGGGTTTGCGTGGGTGGTCATGATGAGTGGAGGATTAGGAGCAATCCTTCCCCTCCTGTTGCCTTGTGGAAGGGAAGCGAGCGCGGGTGTTTACCTTTACTGCAGGCCTTGGTGTTATACACCCTGTCTTCGTACACTCAGATGAATAAGAAATTTTGTGGCTTGTACTTACTTAACAGACTGTGGCATTTTGTGAAGTTGTGGATTGTCTTGAAGAGGGCTGGTATCATGCACTCTCCACCCTTCTGAGAGCTTCTGCATTCAAGACACATCTCTGTTTACGTCGCAAATATGTGTCAATTCTCACATGACAATTTTCATACAACATTTTTACCATTGTTACAGTCGCCTTTCCATTCCTAGTCATCTTCTCACTAAAACCATGAAGACCGCTGTCCTTCTTGCTTCCGTCGGGTGCGCTCAGGCATTCGTCCCTCAGATGAACGTACAGCGTAAGTGATCGTTACCTCCCAAGAAGGAATTCGCCCCGTTTAGAGTTAGGACGTACGTCGTGGCGATTTTGTGCTTGTCATCGTCTTTAAATCGTGGGTACGGGGGCGCTTATGCCGAAAAGATCTGGTAGCCTCCCGAGATCTCCCCTTCAAAACGCCTCTTATGTCGACCGTGAAGAAGAGAGGTTTATCTTCAAGCACAATAAAGGCAGCACATCCTCTCTGATGGTGACCGTTTTCGTCCATTCTTGTCCATCTTTACGACACAGCCTCTTTCCTGGATCAGCTCAAGAACGGCGTCTCCAAGGCCCTCCCCGTCCTTGTGGGCGGATCAGCCTTCCTGGCCCCCTCCATTTCCAACGCCTTGACGAAGGAGGATCTTTCCTCCCTCTCCTACCTCCAGGTACGCAGTCCTTCGTTTTGGGAGGGGCGTTGACGAATGCATGCTCCCTTTCTTGGGTATTTTCCTAGAGGTGAAACGACAAGACGATCTCCCTTTTTTCTCTCTCTCGCTCCTTCTTTCTAGACAAGTTTTGAGCTCCATCCTGCGTCCCTTTAATTATATTGAATCCTCACTTTTCATGTCTACACAGGTGAAGGGCACCGGGCTCGCGAATCGATGCCCCGAGGTGGTGGGGGAAGGCAGCATTGCCCTGCAAGGTGGGAAGACGTACCAGCTCAGCGACTTGTGCCTGGAGCCCAAGACCTGGCAAGTCGAGGAGGAGGTGACCAACAAGCGGGGGGAGACGACCAAGAGCTTTGTGAACACGAAGCTGATGACCCGCCAGACTTACTCTCTCGACGGTGTGTCGGGGGATATCTCCGTCGGGGAGGGCGGGAAGATCAAGTTTGAGGAGAAGGACGGCATCGACTATGCTGCCACCACTGTCCAACTTCCGGGAGGCGAGCGTGTGCCTTTCCTTTTCACGGTCAAGGAGCTGGTGGCCACGGCTGCGCAGCCAGGGAACGCCCTCAAGCCCGGCTTCCAATTTGGCGGCTCTTTCAAGGTGAGGGAATCTTTTCGATGCTAGGAGAGCTGTCCAGGAAATGTCTCAAGTTGTTTTATGCATAACGTTGTGGTGTTGGTGGGTGTTTGGGAGGAATGGGTAGGAGGCACAGCATCGTCCAAGCCCCTGGTCATGTCCTCCCCTCTTTTGCCCCCCCGCTCCACTTCCTCTGCTCCCCTTCCTACGTCCCATGTCGCCATCGCCGGGTGTTGCGCCCGTCACTCACCCTTTCTTCTTCCCTCCCGAAACCCATTCATTCGTGTAGGTCCCCTCCTACCGCTCTGGTCTCTTCTTGGACCCCAAGGGACGAGGCGCGGTGACGGGCTACGACATGGCCGTCGCCCTCCCTGGTCTGCAGAACTCGGTCGAGGGTGACGAGGAGCTCTTCAAGGTGCGTCCTGGCCTAGGCAGTGAAAAGACAAGCTGTTTGTCGAGTAGGGCGTGGTGCCCCCACTCTGGGGGTGGGAGGTTCTATCTGTGAGAACTATTGGGGTATTCCCGCCGGGAGAGTGCGTACTCGGTCTCGAATCAAGTATAAGGAGCGTGCATCCTACCGTCCTCTTTCCAGTTCCTTCACACCTTTCCTTTTCCCCTCCCTCCTTCCCTCCCTGTTTTCCTCCTGTACGGCCGCATGGCAGGAGAACAACAAGATCTTCGACGTGACGAGTGGGAACATCGAGCTGGAGGTGAACAAGGTGAACGTGGAGGAAGGCGAGGTGGGCGGGGTTTTCGTATCCACCCAGTTTTCCGACACGGACATGGGCTCCAAGGCGCCCAAGAAGCTTCTGATGAAGGGGATCTTTTACGGACGTGTGGCCCAGTAAGTCGTCAACGCCTTGGGAAAAGGAGCGGAAATAAGGGACGAGGAGGGGGGGGCGAGCCGGATCCTCCTCCCTCTTCTGGATATCGGAAAGGGGAAGATGGTGTATTTCGTGACATATGTTTTGCATTCTCTGTGTGGCGAGAGGTGAGCCGTCGCCTCTTGTGTGTGGGAGGGTGATCACGAAGAGGGAGCGGGGGAGGCATAGGACCGGTGATGATGCTACGATATAACCTAGATCGCGGGAGATGGATACTGGAAAGAATGACGAAGAACAGGAAGTGAACGCTCGGGAAAGAAGCACAAGGATGACCGCATGCAGTCTGGGCCGCGCCTGGTGCTCTGTCACCGCATTTTACTCGCACTTGTGCTTCTTGCTGTGAATGCCCTCCGGACGCCCGCTAACCCCACGTCCCCGCACTCCCCTACGCATACACCTACTTTCCGTTTCTCTCGCTTTTTTTTGTACACACATCTCTCTAAATTTAGGGCCTTTCCCTGATCCCCGCTCTGCCCTCCTCACTTCCCCACCGCCCTCCGTCCATCTGCCTCCGACGACAGGGGGAACCCCCGCCTGGCCAAGGCATTGATGACGAGGGCCTCCAGGTTCCGAGCCTCTGTCTTGGAAGCCACAGGAACGAACAACGCCTCCAAGTCGGACTCCGGTATTCGAGACTTCTTTTTGTGCGTGGCCCGGTGTTGGGCGAGCCGTTGGCGGGCGCTTTCCGTCTCACCCACGTAGAAGGAGGGGGGAGTGAGGAGGGCGGAGGAAGGGGGAGGGTAGAGGAGGACGTAGAGACAAGCGCTGCCTTCCAATGACGGAGACGGCTCGTTGCCGGGAGGGACGCGTAGAAAGGGCGGGAGGGAGGGCGGGAGAGAGGGAGGGAGGGAGTTGGAGGAGGAGCTGTGGTACCCGCGAAAAATGGAGGCCAAGA